GAGGGGCTGGGGATGTGGCTCAAGCGGTAGTGCGCTCGCCTGGCATGCGTGCGGCCCGGGTTCGATCCTCAGCACCACATACAAACAAAGATGTTGTGTCTGCCGAGAACTAAAAAATCAATATTAAAAATTCTCTCTCTCTCTCTCTCTCTCTCACTCTCTCTCCTCTCTCACTCTCTCTTTAAAAAAAAAAAAAAATAAGCCGGAATGTAGCTCAGTGGTAGAGCACTTCTTGGTTCAGTCTCCAGGACCAAAAAGCAAACAAGCAAACAAAAAAACTCATCAATGCCTTACCATGCCTTACCATTATCCTCATAATAAAGGTGTAGTACACCTTAGCCTTGTCTATCCCTGTTTACCTAACTTTATTCCTCACCTCTTGCCTTTGGACTGCTGCCACAACAAACTACAGCCCTTCCAGCTTTCAGCTGCTTTAAGTCAGCTCCAGGCCTTTACACACGCAGCTTACTTTGTTTTAGTAGGGGAACCATTCTTAAGATTTTAAATCTCCCAAGAAGCTTCCCCTGACCAGCCTGAAGTTTAGACAGTTTATGTTCTGTAGCATTGTACATTGGCCCACATAGCAATATGATTGCCTATTTTAACTTCCTTATGATAGACTTCAATCTTGTTGAGAAGCAGAACCATGTCTTCCTTAGAATCCAGAGCTTAGGTAGCAGAATGCCTATATTTATTGACTGACTGCAGTAGGGTTTTAAGTAACTAGCACCATTAGGGATTAGATTATAAGTTTTTCTAGCCACAGAGACTGGGCTTTCTTTCTGGCTGCTCCTTATAGCTACTCTTTCTCTTCTTGCTTTACATGTCTGTCAAATGTTGACACAGCTTGTGCCTGCTGACCCCATTTGTAACTTTTGAGACAGCATGTGCCATCTTTGGACAGCTCTAAGAGCTGAAATAAAGTAATTATCCATGCATTTTTCTTAGTTTATGCTTCAGAGATTATAATTTATTTTTTAAAACAATTTTGAATTTATAATTTACCAAATGTCCCAATTCATTAATTGATTGATTAATTTACTGAGCACTAGTACTATATTCTTGTATTCTAATGATGCTCATTGCTCAAAATGTTTCTGGGCCTTCTTTGGGGATTGTCTTCAGAACTTCTGTCAGATTCTTTTGAAAATGTGTTGACACTTTTTTCTTTTAACTTTGAGGTAGATATGATTTGGGAAATAACTTATAGTTGTTCAGGACCAAGTCAGGTGAAAAACGTGTCAGAAATTGTAATCTGGCAAGTCTTGGTTTTCTTTGATTATGATCTTTTAAAAATTTTAATCAAAAACTTAAAATGGGAAGATGACAGTAAAACAAAAAATCTGAAGCAGTAGACTCCTGTTCCTACATGGTTCTTTCTGTTGATAGTGGTTGCTCCTTTAGACAGGACATTCACGCTCCAATTTTCCTCAATCCTGCTCCTATTTCACTGATCCTGGCTAAAGCCTTGTTTAGTTTATATACTTGTGCTGAGCACTGAGGATATATGTGGTTGTAAGAAAGAGACAGTTTCGGGATGGGTTTGTGGCTCAGTTGTAGAGTGCTCACCTAGCACTTGTGAGGCCCTGGGTTCCATCCTCAGCACCACATGAAAATAAACAACGGTCATTGTGTTCATCTACAATTAAAGAAAAATATTTGGAAGGAAGGAAGGAAAGAAAAGAAAAGAAATGAAAGAAACAGTCACAGCCAGGAACACACCTGTATTTCCACCAGCTGGGGAGGCTGAGGCAGGAGGATCTCAAGTTAAAAGCCAGCCTCAGCAACATCAAGATGCTAAGCAACTCAGTGAGACCCTGTCTCTAAATAAAAATACAAAATAGGGCTTGGGGATATGGCTCAGTGGTTTGAGTGTCCTTGAGTTTAATCTCTGGTAACTCCCCCCCACCATCAAAAAAAAAAAAAAAGAAAAAGAAAAGAAATAAAGATACAGTTGCTAACTTCAAGAATCCTTCTTACATGTTTCAAAGTATTTATAATATGTGTAAGCACTATAGTAAAGTCTGTATAATAGATAGTAATTGAGCTCCTACCAAATTCCACATGAGTGCTTTCACTTATCTCAGCACTCCTCTGAATTGATGTATTTTTTCCATTTTACTCATGAAGAAATAAGCTCAGGATGGATTAAGTAACTTGGCCAAGATCATACAGCTAGTAAATAGGTAGCTATGATTTCAGAAATCTGTCTTCTGACTCAGAGTATTAGTTCTCACCTTGCCTTCTTTGAGGGCACTGAAGCTTGAACATTGTAACCAGAATCATTGGTTTTCTTTTATAGTGATTGATTGTTTTTTAGGGTGAGAAGATGGAATTGTCTAGTGTAGAAGGGTGCTGATATTCAGGGCCAGGGAAGAATGGGAGATGGAGTCCCAGAGATCCCATAAGGCTTTTAGTCCACAGTAATGATAGGCTGGAGAAGAGAGAGCTATAGTGAGTGAATGGATCAGGCTGCCAAATTGAAATTCAGGGTAATTTGAGTTCCCTTCCCACAGTGGCTTGAATTCTACTAAGGTAACTGTTGAGAAATAGGAGTTGAAGTGTTTTTCTTGCAGACTGCCAAGAACTAATAAAAACTATGCCAAAGACCTTCACAGAGTGTCAGGGGACACGATTGGTTTAATCTGGTACATCAGAAACATAGTTGAAGGGCAGATTTGTGGAACAATAACCAGACCTCAGCTGGGATTGGTGGTGAAAGGTATGGATTTCCGGCATAAAAACTGGAAAAGATTTTTAGTAGCAGCTGGGAGTCCTCCCACACTGCCCTTTATAGCTAAGAAATTGCTTACTGCAAGATATGCTGGGGATAGAAGAGACATTCCCTCAAAGTAGCTTTAGGGCCTTATGTAGGTCTTGTCCCTTTTTGCTTCTTAGCCTCTCGAAGCAGGATTGGATGACATTTAGCACTTCATACTATCAGTATGGCAAAACAACTAAGCACTTGGGAGTCAGGCAAAGCTAGTTTCAAATTCTGGCTACTCCACTTATTAACTCTATGACACCAAACTAAGCCTGAGCCTTGGTTTGCTCATCTATAATATACAGATATCACCATCTATATTACAGAGCCACTGTAAGAATTAAATGAGGTAACATATATAAAATAGATTGCATGGTGCTTGAATAAGCACTGAAAAAAATATCCTCTGTGATGTCAAAACCCTGTAACAGTAAAAGCTAACATTTGATATGATTACCCTATGTAAATTAGTTAATCCATCAAGCCATGATATGCTTTTAATAGGGTATTCACTAATGTTTTATCTCTGTGCCACCCCTATCCCCTTCACCATTATTAGATGTCCCTCTGGCTTTCTGTAGACAGTTTTGAAATGCCACTGCCCAGGCCACCAGCTTCATATGTTACTCCTCTAACTTTTCTGTTTTCATTACTTTGTTTTAAAATAAAGTGCTTTGTCCTGATGTAATCTGTGCTTTTAAAATTACCACGAACATAGTGAAAATGCCATTTAGAAATCCTGCAGACTGTTCTATGAGCATCACTCTTGGTTCTATCACTCTTGGTTACCGTTAAAAGAAGCTGTGTTTTCTTTGGATTAACCCTACCCAGTTTCCTTTTTCTTCTTTTAATGCTCAACAGAATACTGAAGGTAGTTAGTCACCACTCTCCAGCGTGCACACATTGCTGCTTTGGTTTACTGCCACAGGATAATCTTATAGACATCACTGATGGCCAATCAGAAGCAGTTAAATTACCTTAAATTTTTTTAAAAAATGGAACTCTGACAACCAATAAGAAATCCTTTGGGTGGGAACTGTAACGACCTTTTCCTTTGATTTTAAGGACAATTCTAAATTTGCAGTATCCTGTTTTGGAAGCATATAAGGCCCTATTACATCTACTGTATGCATTTGCAGGCCATTTCCAATCCTTAAGTTCCTGGTAGTTTGAAGTCTGAATCTGACCCCTGTTCTGCTTCTCAAGGTAACTTTAAAACAGGAAGTGTACAAAGGAGGTAACTGATGACGTGAACAGCCAATCGTGGCTTTGTGTTCTTAGCTGATAAAGCAGCTCAGCCAATGGGATGGCTCTGGAGGCAAGGTTTGGTGTCAAATAGCAGGCTAGATTGAATGCCTTTGACTGTTAAAGTGGAAGGAGGCTGCAGGGTTTCATTGGAGCCTCGGAGTTTTTCACTGAGGCAGGGGTCAGCTGAAAGACAAAGAAAAATGGCGAATAGTTTGCTGGGGGGTGGGAGGACAGCTGTTCGGGTTTTCACTGGAGTGGACATTCCAGACTCAGGTTTCTGCATCTCCTGCTGCTTTTGTTTCCTCCGTCCTTTTGGGGGGGGAGGGATAGGAGTGACTTAAATTCTCCCTGTCCGAGGAGATATAAATAACTACATGTAAAATTAATGCAGTTCCCGGTAAGTTTAATTCTTTGTTTTGTGTTGAAATGATAGAAACTGTTTAGCTTCAGAGAGTGTAGACAAGTTGCACTGTTTCAGAAAATGGCCACTTTACATTCCAGGCATACCTTTTGGTGCACCTAGAATACCTTGCTCGGTTTAGATTTTGCATGTCCTTCAACTAGGATTTCTTTTCCTAGTTGAGTATTGACAAGATCAGGTACAATAAGAACTAATCATTTTTCAGGGGCACACAGAAGCATAGCACTTTCTTTTTTGCATTGGGTAAACTTAACTGGTTTCCAAATAATTTTCCTTTGTTCAAGTGCACTGAAGCTTTCCTACAGGATAAGCTGAGGTTTTGTAAGAGTTTTCCTATTTCCGTGCACTTTATTGACATCTGTGTTTTCAGAGAGAAGCCACACTATGGCTATTCGAAATTTGTGTGAAAATAGGATTTGCACTGATGCCCCTTCTTAGGGTGAAGGCCCACATGCCAACGTGAAATTCTCCCATAACTTTCTTGATCTACCTGTCTACCTCTAGATTCTCTTAAGTATTTATTTATATAGTATTAGTACTTGTTTTAAAATGCACATTTTAGCTTAGAATGCCGGTTAAAAACATGCTTCTCCAGTTACATTGGCAGTGACAAAAGCAGATCGTTTTCTACTAATTTCAAACATTTTGTCAAATGTTGGTTTGGTTCTTTAAAATATTAGAAAAATGATTTTCATTTTCAGCATGAAATATTTAAAATCCTAATTTATCTGCATTTTATAAATAGCAAAGTTAGCACACTATCTTTTGCCCTTGATATTTTTCCCCCTTTAGGGGTATGGAGCTAGGTTGCTAATTAGCAACCAGTCAGTTCTTGTGAATAGGGAGATATTCGATCCCATGTACTAAGATTTGTAAAACATATGATTTAAAAGATAAATTCTTTGTTTTCTTTTTATTTGAAAACATGGGATGAAGGTCATTGGAACATTTCTGCAGCAGACTCAGTGTGAAGTAGTGAGCCAGCAGCACTCTGTGGATAGGGAAAAGGAGCAGGCCCTATTAGAGAAGTTTGGAGGGTGTTGATCTGCCTTCCCTTGCTTCCCTTGAGTAAAGGATTTACCTGAGAGGATCCTTGGGGTTTTAGATTTTGTGTTCTTCTAGTTGGGGTGGTGTTAACACTCATAGTTCTAGGATGCAGGCCTCTGTCGTTGCTCAGAAAAGTGACCTTGAAAAACTGCCGAGGAGTTGAAAGATTGAAGGACAAAGTTTGTTTATACAGATTTGGACTGAAAAGCTCTATTTAAGATGAAAAGAGACTGTACTTCTGATGTTCAGGTCTAGTGGTTAGTAGGAATCTGTTATAGATTCAAATTATGAGTTTTTAAGCAATCAGACAATGGGGCTGCATTCATTCTCTCTCTCACTCTTCTTTCTTCCCTTCCCCCAGCAAAAAATTCTAAATCCTTCTGGTATGATAGTTGAGTGAACTGCCTAGCAGATTCAGAATTCTTTGCACGCCACCTTGTCTTTGTAATCTAGAGGGTTCTTAGTGAAGAATGGTATTTCAGGAGTTGAAAGTAGTTACATTTGTGAAACTCCTTTTAGAAGATTGGAATGCTATGGTAAGAAAACATTCATTCTGAGAATTTAAGTCCTAAGAAAAATATGTGTTAAGGGTTACATTTTAAAGTGTAAATTGCTTTAATTTAAATGTGTTTTATACGGATTTACATTTACATTTCAGGTTTTATATATGATTTTAAAGTAGTTGTAGATACTGAGTGACCTTATTGACTCTGGGACAGGAAAGGGAGGTAAAAGTAAAGGGGGGGTACAGTATGAAGCCAAGATAAAACTCTTTATAAACTTGACAACTTTGCAGATTTAGCTGCTTTGAAAGGCATCTAGCCTAGATTCTTCACCCTTTTAGGGTCAAGGACTCTTGGAGAATCTGATCCACTACCTGGTAAAGTTGACATAGGCAAGCCCATGCAAAACCTCTGATGACTTAGGATATTTTCTGGTGTTTCCTCATGTTGAATGCTGTTTATATGATCCTCTCATATAACAGTTTAGACAGGTAAATGTTTCCTAGAGAAATGAAGAAAACTATTTCTAGAAAGAGCAAAGTCCTTCTAAAGCTGATTATAATTTTGACTGGTGGGTATATGGGAGAGGCTTAGATGGAGTCTGAAATTTGGACCAGTGTTTACTCTAGTAACAATATTTTGAAGCAGCACAGTGCAAGCCATTTAAAGTCAAGAGACCTGTGTTCAAGTTCCATTCAGTTCTATTGCCAGCTTTGTGACCTGGGGTAAGTCAGCCATTTAATGTCAGCTTTCTCATGTGTAAAAAATGAATCTAAGAATAGCACCTTCTTATTTAGAGAGTCTTGAATGAGATATGTATGTCAAGGGCTTTGAAAATTATTAATTGCTGCACAAATATTATTTGTATTAATCTAAACTAATTGGAGAAAATTGTGGCATCAAAGGAAACAATTGTAATATTTTAATATGTTTACAAAGAGGTTTGATACACATGCCTTCACTGCATGTTCCTATTTATGCTAATAGGACCCCCTCTATTTAATGCATATATGGAGATCACCAAACCTTTATTAAGGGTTCCATGAAAGAATTTAAAACCCTTTGTCAAAAATTTAAGGGCCCCAGAATAAGATGAAAGTGGGAGTACTTTTTTATAGCATTAGATTTAAGAACCTCTCAGAATAAAAACTGAACGTCTGTTCTGATTGGATACTAAGATTTGAATTATAATGCAGGTAAATTGTAATGGTTGCTTGGTATTTACCAAGCATTTTTAGTTTGTGCACCAAATATTTATAAAGTAAACTGAAGCCATTTTTTTTGTTTGCTTTGTAATCATATGATCTTTATGTGTTCAGGTTTGGGAGGTAGTTATCACATGCAGGGTAGTAGCAAGCGAGTCAGTGTTGGGATAAAGACTTAAAAACATTGATCCCACTAAAATCTGAGCGTTATTGTGAATTTCACACTGTGATACTGTGAGATACCTCTCTAACAAATGGTGGAAACCCATGTCGGTTTCTTTCACATCCATTTTACATGCCTAGGGTTCTCTATTTTAGGACTTCCTCACTCCTCCTTTTCCCCTGCTGTGGGGTTGATATTTTGTGATCTACTTGATTTCTTATCCTATAAGTCACTTCCGTCAGTCATCATTAATGTCTTCCTCCTTTCCGAGTATTGAAAGAATCATACTTAGAATGAGATTTGGCAAAATTTGCATTGGCCTCTCCAAATTAAATTTCAGTTCCAGGGATATGTGTGTCAATAATCATGATCACGGTGGGTTTTTTTCCCTAAAACAAAGAAGCTGTATACTTTTTTTGGGGCTTCAGAAACATTCTTGAAGCTGATCATAGTCGCCTTCATTGAATCGCATTATTTTTGCCCATTTCTATCCCCAATGATACAGAGTTTTGAATAGTCCTAAATTATGCTGATGAAATAATTTAGGGACCTAGTCTATTTCCTTTCTTTTCCTCTTTTGGTACTGGGGATTGAACTCAGGTGTTCTTTGCCACTGAGCTACATCTCTACTCCTTTTTATTTTTTATTTTGAGATGGGATCTCACTAAATTTCTAAAGCTGATCTCCAACTTGCAGTCCTCTTGTCTCAGCCTCCCAAGTCACTGGGATTATAGTTGTGTAGCACTGAGCTCCACTTGGTTCTTTTCTTGTAAAAGGGAAATCAAGGCCCAAAGAGAGGGGGCTGGAGATGTGGCTCAGCGGTAGCGCGCTCGCCTGGCATGCGTGCGGCCCGGGTTCGATCCTCAGCACCACATACCAACAAAGATGTTGTGTCTGCCGAGAACTAAAAAATAAATATTAAAAATTCTCTCTCTCTATCTCTCTCTCTCTCTCCTCTCTCACTCTCTCTTTAAAAAAAAAAAAAAAAAAAAAAAGGCCCAAAGAGATTAGGTGCCCTTATTAAGTAGGGTCTTTCAGCTTTTATGTGGTGGCTGAACTGTGCAAGATCAGATTCAACTCTCTCTCAATTCATTGCATGTTCATTTTATTCCTCTAGGTTTTTACTTTTTATCTTCTATGTTTTTTTTTTTTTCTTTTGGTATATCCATACAGGCTTACTATTTGGATATAGAAGGAACAGAGAGAAAAATAGGCCATGGAGGAGGTTCGGAGTTTTCCACATGGAATCTGTTAGTTAAGAAAGTCTGCTGTGGCAGCAGACTTAGCATCCCTTTTGGGATCTGAAGATCTCTTGCCTCAGCCAGTTCCTTATTCAGAAAAGTGAAAATCAGCCAGGAGGCTAATGGTGCCCACCTGGCTGAGATATTCCAGAGTTAGGTTTCTTTTATGCTGTACAAGGAAGTGAACAAAGCTACAGACAACACCTGTATGCCAATTAGAGTTATTTAATTATTCTATTAATACACTTCAAGAACAAGTTTATTCTAAAATAACTTTGGGTCTAGTTTTTCAAATAAGTCCTTAAGCTAATCTATATTTAATAAAACAAAGATCCCAAGGTCATGTGAAGCATTTGACAAGGCTAAAATAGAAGTCACTGTTTATGTATTCCCCAAGTTATATTTTAAATGATGCTAACTTTACTTCTTTCCACTAGCAAAGTGGTATTTAGTTTGTGTATGTGTTCATGTGTATTGGGGTAGTTGTGAATTTTGGGGTTTTTTTTTGCAAATTTTGAAAGACTGTCTTGAAAAAAATTTAAAATTTTCTTATCACCTTCATGCATTTGAACAAAATAGTTTTTTTGAGAGAATGAGGAATCAAACAATGTAACTTATATATTTTAAGTCCTGAAGTGTACTGCCATTGAAAATTATATGACACAGTTAGATGATATGTAACTCATGTCTGCA